CCTTATGTCTCACCTACATCTCCCCTCTTCCAGTTTTAATCCATTCCCCCTCATTCTCTCCCTCCCTGCCCTTGTCCCAAGCCCCTCCCCAGCTTTCCTGGAGCCCCTTCAGGCACTGGAAGCTGCTCTCAGGTCTCCCTGGAGCCTTCTCTTCTCCAGGCTGAACACCCCAACTCTCCCAGCCTGGCTCCAGACCAGAGCTGCTCCTGCCCTTGGACCATCTTTGTTGCCCTTCTCTGGACTCTCTCCAACAGCTCCATGTCCTTCCTGTGCTGAGGGCTCCAGAGCTGGACACAGCACTGCAGGTGGGGTCTCACCAGAGCAGAGCAGAGGGGCAGGATCCCCTCCCTGGCCCTGCTGCCCACGCTGCTGGTGATGCAGCCCAGGACAGGGCTGGTTTCTGGGCTGTGGAGAAGCACACAGAGCTCCCAGCCTTCAGGAGCTGCTTGTATGTTGGGTGCCACCTGAAGGGAAATGATCTCCTGCCTCCTCACCAAACCCATTGGGTGTCACACCAGGCACTGAGCTAAGGGCAAGAATTAAAGCCAAGAGAGCAGCTGCCTGGCTGGCACTGCCCCATTTCCATGTTGCCTGTCACATTTATCATAGAATCACAGAATCTCAGGGGTTGGAAGGGAGCTGGAAAGCTCCCCCAGCCCAACCCCCCTGCCAGAGCAGGGGCACCCAGAGCACATCACACAGGAACGTGGCCAGGGGGGTTGGAATGTCTCCAGAGAAGGAGACTCCACAGCCTCTCTGGGCAGCCTGGCCCAGGGCTCTGTCACTCTCACAGCAAAGAAGTTCTTCCTGAGATTCACATGGAACCTCCTGTGCTCCAGTTTGAACCCACTGCCCCTTGTCCTGTCACTGGTCATCACTGAAAAAAGCTTGGGAAAAAAGCCACCTGAAGGATTGTGACATCCTCTCTGGAATGTGAGAGCCTGTGGGCAGCACTGGCAGCAACAACAGTTCTCAGGAACCAGCAGCATGTGGAGCTCTGGTGTTTCTACCCCCCCCAAATTCACACCCTTGGCACAAACCAGGAAGTGGAAACTTCCTTGAGGAGAATCTGAAATACCCTCAACCCTGGCCTCTGGAGATGGTCTAGGTACATAGGAGGTCACCACCTGTAAAAAACAGTCCATGAGAGGGGACAGGGAGGAGGGAGAGCCTGGCCCAGGTTGCCCAGGGAAGCTGTGGCTGCCCCATCCCTGGCAGTGTTGAAGGGCAGGTTGGATGGGGCTTGGAGCAACCTGGGCTGGTGGGAGGTGTCCCTGCCCATGCAGGGGGTTGAAACTGGATGATCTTGAAGGTCCCTTCCAATACAAACCAGTCTGTGATCCTATGAAATGGCATGCAGTGATCCCATGACTGTCCTCAACCACCTCTGGAGTAGTGTCCACACTTCTGGTCAGCCAGGCAGGAGGATGCAGCAGGTGAGCCTGTCTCTGGGGAGGGGAGGCAGGGATGAGGATGATGGAGGGGCTGGAACACCTGCCTGATGAGGAAAGGCTGAGAGACCTGTGGGTGTTCAGTCTAGAGAGGAGAAGACTGAGGGGGGATCTAATTAATGTCTATAAATACATGAGGGCATCAAGAAGGCAGGACAAGCTCCTGTCACTTGTGCCCTGTGACAGGATGAGGGGCAATGGATTCAAACTGGAGCCCAGGAAGTTCCACCTCAACATGAGGAAGAACTTCTTCACTGTGAGGGTGACAGAGCCCTGGGCCAGGCTGCCCAGAGAGGGTGTGGAGTCTCCTTCTCTGGAGACTTTCAAGACCTGCCTGGATGTGTTTCTGAGTGACCTGCCCTAGTGTTTTTTTTGCCAGCTCTGGCAGGATGATCTTTGGAGGTCCCTTCCAACCCCTAAGATCCTGTGATTCTGTGTTTTATGGGTAAATGGCAGCATGGGGACTTGAGGGCAGCTCATCCTGCACTTGTGACTGCCTCACCTGCTCTTGCAAAAAGCTGGAGATGGCTTCTGGAGCTCAACAGCTGTGTCATGCTGGGAAGAAAATCTGCCAGAGGTTCAAAGCAGCTTAAAAATATTCCCTGAGCTGAGCAGGGGACAAGACCAGATGAAAAAAAAACAAGGGGGCAAAAGGAAAGAAACAAGTGTGGAGTGGGGAAGAGGGAGTCCTGGCAACCCCCAGGAGCACAGGGCTAGATTTAGACCAGAAGGAAAATGTGCTTGATATTAAGTCTGTGCTGCCCCTGGACCATCTTGGAATTCAACACCAGAGCCATAATTTCATCACTGATCCCAGCAGCAATTTTTCTACTGCTACATTTCAGGGGCTTTACCCCTTCTTTCAATTTCTTCCAAGGTGCTCAGGAAGAATGTTAAAACCATGGATGATTAAGTGTCCAGCTTTTTAGGCAGTACAAGACTTCCCACATTGCACCCATGAGAGATCCCATTTTTAACCAGTTAAGGAACCAAACTGGCCCTTCAGCATTCAGCCAGCACAGGGTACAAGTTTGGTTCAGAGCTCAAAGGGTTCAACCCCAGCACCAAAAGGCTTCCCTTGGCTGCAGCACCTGAAATCTAGCCCAGCTTTTCTAAACACTTCCAGCTACGTGGATCTGACCAAAGATTAATTGAGTCAGGAAGTCAAGAAGGAACACAAGCAACCTGACCCTGCCTTGGCCAACCACAGAAGAAGAGCAACAAAAGCCATTCCTTACTGCAAAAAGCTTCTCCAGTACCCTTGAGATCATGACACACAGGGTCTGCACAGCTGCTGTGGCACGTTGGGATTTATCTTCACAAGCTTCTTCAGCCATCAGAACAACTGCAGCCACAGAGTCCTGCACTCCCAGGAAGAAGTTCCTCCCACTCCTTTATAGGCAGCAACCTCCAAATTGTGCCAGCAGCTCCTCTGGCTTTGCTTTGGGAGATCAGGCAGTGATGGGAGAGGACACCTAACTTTTAGAGGGTATTAAGCCCAGACAACACATGTTGGAAAACTGGGCCAGGCTGCCCAGAGAGGCTGTGGAGTCTCCTTCTCTGGAGACATTCCAACCCCCCTGGGCACGTTCCTGTGTGATGTGCTCTGGGTGCCCCTGCTCTGGCAGGGGGGTTGGGCTGGGGGAGCTTTCCAGGTCCCTTCCAACCCCTGGGATTCTGTGATATGGCAGAATCACAGGATGGTAAAGGTTGGAAGGGACCTTCAAGATCATCAGGTTCCAACCCCCTGCATGGGCAGGGACACCTCCCACCAGCCCAGGCTGCTCCAAGCCCCATCCAACCTGCCCTTCAACACTGCCAGGGATGGGGCAGCCACAGCTTCCCTGGGCAGCCTAGGCCAGGGTCTCACCACCCTCACAGCACATAATTTCTTCCTAAGATCTCAACTCAATCTCCCCTCTCCTAGATTAAAACTGTTCCTCCTTGTCTCATCCCTCCCTGCCCTTGTCCCAAGCCCCTCCCCAGCTTTCCTGGAGCCCCTTCAGGCACTGGAAGGTGCTCTAAGGTCTCCCTGGAGCCTTCTCTTCTCCAGGCTGAACACCCCAACTCTCCCAGCCTGGCTCAGATCAGAGCTACTCCAGCCCTTGGATCATCTTTGGTGCCCTTCTCTGGACTCTCTCCAACAGCTCCATGTCCTTCCTGTGCTGAGGGCTCCAGAGCTGGACACAGCCCTGCAGGTGGGGTCTGACCAGAGCAGAGGGGCAGAATCCCCTCCCTGGCCCTGCTGGTGATAGGACTGCAAAGCCTTTATTTCTAAGGATAAACATTAAACTAGAAACATATTTTGATCTGTCACCTGCTGCTAGATCAAAGAGTCTGACAGCACGTGGAGGCTGATTTTGCAGTCTTCTAAAACCTCCATTTCAATGTTGCTGGAGATAATGAGCTGCACCAGCACTGCTGAGGTGGGAACGTGTCCTGACATCCTGTTGGTGCCACCCTAAGAGAGATGCTGCTGGGGCTCTGGGGGGGATCAGAAAGCAGAACTGCTTGGGAAGGAGAGAGACTGTCTATCCTATCCTACAGGATAACAGGGTTGGAAAAAGGACCTGTTCTGCAGTGAGGGAGTGAAGCCACTCAAGGATGCTTTAAGAGCTGTGGCAGGCACAGGCAGCTCACAAAGTTCACAAAAGAGAAGGTATTTTTGCCCTGTCTCAGAACAAAGCATCCTCTGCCTGAAAAGGAAACCCAGACCAGCAGGAACAGAACAACCACCAAACCCACTTTCTGCTCAGATGGGAACCTGCTGCCACCTGCGGATGAAAGGAAGCAAAGCCATCTTGAACTACAAACGGTGCTCACCACTTGTGTCCCTTCTTCAGACACCGTGGGCTTCAATCCTTTCCTTACTCAGGACATGGAAATGGCTGAAACGTTTTGTTTCAAGGGGTTTTAGAGTTGGGTTGGTGGGGTTTTTTTTTAACCTTTCCCCCCTTTGATTGCAACAGCCTGCACTGCTTGTTCCTAAACACATTTTAGTCAAGCTCCTGGAAGCCTCCAGAGGAGGGCATGAAGGTGATCCAAGGGCTGGAGCAGCTCTGCTCTGGAGCCAGGCTGGGAGAGTTGGGGTGTTCAGCCTGGAGAAGAGAAGGCTCCAGGGAGACCTTAGAGCAGCTTCCAGTGCCTGAAGGGGCTCCAGGAAAGCTGGGGAGGGGCTTGGGACAAGGGCAGGGAGGGAGAGGACAAGGGGGAAGGGATTAAAACTGGAAGAGGGAGATTGAGGGCAGACATAAGGAGGGAATTCTTTGCTGTGAGGGTGGTGAGAGCCTGGCCCAGGTTGCCCAGGGAAGCTGTGGCTGCCCCATCCCTGGCAGTGTTGAAGGGCAGGTTGGATGGGGCTTGTGCAGCCTGGGCTGGTGGGAGGTGTCCCTGCCCATGCAGGGGTTTGGATCTAGATGATCTTTGAGTCCCCTTCCAACCCAAACCATTCCATGACTCTAAGATAGCAGCTCCCTCAGAAGAGCTGGCACTGGAACTATCACAGCTTCATGGGAAATCTGTTGCTCTGTCTCAATAAAACAGGCTCTTTTATTAAACTTCACAGTTAATCCTGGAGTTACTACAAACTAAAGGGCAACAGGGTCCACATCTCCCTCTGAGAACTCTTTTATGATGGTTGGGTATCAGTTATCTGGGAAGAATTGCACCACAAGCAATGATCAATGATCAGCCATCATGACTGTAACACAACCAGTAGCTGCTAAAAACTTAGAAGCTTTTCTCTTAACAGTGGCTGATTTCTAAATGGTTTGGCCATGTTCAAACCTCTACCAGCTGGGGGCTGGCAGACTGAAGAGACACATCCTGACCAGGATGACAGTGTTCATGGTACATTCATCAACACCTGAGGGGTGAGAAATTCCCCAGGGAATGCAGCCTAAAGTCTTGTCACCCTGCACTTCCCATATCATCCCAACTGCCACCCTCAAGGAGTGAGAGGAATCAAGGGTTTAAAAAGAGATTCATTGCCAGGTTTTTCAGTGCTGCAGGTGTCACATCTCCTTTGTGCAAGCAAGATGTTGTTACTGAGGACACAAGTGTGGTACCTAACAAGGAAGTTCTGGATGCTGTGCAGCTGATTTCTGGGCAGGACCAGCCACGTTGTCCCAGAGGATTTTACCACCCTGCTGGACAGAGAACACCAGCTGAAGTCCCAGATCTGCTCCAGCTCCAGGCAGCAGCATTGCCCCACATCTGCTCTCCTCCCAGTTGGAAACTATCCATTCTCAGGACTCTGCCTCACATGTCCTGCCCTTGTGCTTCCTCCTCTTCCATTCCTGGCTTCTTGTCTTCACCAATAAAAGGCACGTGATGATGGAACTGGGAAACAGCTGCAGACTTGCACCCAGAAGCCCTTCTTTTGGGGTTTTTTTTGGCTGCCCTTCACCCAGCAAAACGTTAGATGCCATTTTAGTCACAGTCAGTTGATTTTTGTCTCTTCTGCACTGCTGCACTTGAAGGGAATTGCTGGATTCCTGGTGCCATGTTCCAATGTATCCATTATAAACCAGGATATTGTCCCTGGAACCACTGGTTAGTCTTGTGAGCCCTGTGTTCATAGAAACCATTTCTCCTGACATCTGGATATTCCTAATATTTCATCACCACCTTCAAAGGCTGCTCTGCCTAAAGGCACAGCTGCTTCAGGTGAGTGCAAATCAATTCTCAAGGCAATACATCAACAAACACTCACCTTCATCCACAGAAAACTGGCAGCTCTTGTCATTGTAGAAAAGAATCTTCTTCTTATCAGGGCGATTCACAAAGATGATCTGGTCCCCTAAAGCCTCAAAAGCAAATGCAAAAGAACAACTCAAAATCACTTTGTCTCCAAGTATAAGGATCCCAACACCAACAACAGCCCCAGGCCCTGGGATATCAAAAGCACAAAAAAAGAGGAGTAAGGTCACTGGCAATGAGAAGCTCCCAAAGCAGGCACTGCAGGGAAGTGCACTAAGAAATCAGAGATGAGATAAGGGAGGCCTGAGGTTAAAAGCAGAACTAAATGCCTGCAGCTGGAAAGTGGGAGATCCAGAGTCTTTTGTGAGCAAGAACTTTGACAGCTGTGCTGGGCCATCAGGCCAACTCTGCAAGCAAGGGATGAAACACAGGAAAAGTGACAACAGCAGATCTTCTGAAACAGGGTGTGATTCGGCCAAAGAACAGAAGCAACTGCTGAGAAAATTCTCAGCCTCTGCCTCCCCTCAGAGAAGGTAACTGGAATGTGTTTGCTGATTTCTCCACTCACCTTTATAGCTTTCTGGGCATTGGGCAGCCCTTCCTCAATATCTTCTAAGAGGATTCCTCCCAGTCCTCGCTGGTCGTGCTTGTCCAGGAGCCTGAGCAGAGCCTTTTTATCCTTCAAGTTGTACTTGGGTTTGAAAGCATACTTGCCATCTACAACTTCTATCTTGGGGTTGTTGACTAGAGCCTGTAACAGGGACACCAAGTTTAAGCCTTGAAGAAGAGGACACACCAGGACTTTTTTCCCAGTGCACTTTGGAGCAGCTGGAGCACATCAGCCATGAGCTACAGGTGGAACCTTGAGTTTGAAATGGATTTTCAATCCTTGGATCCACCAGGCCAGGGAGAATCCAACACAACATAAAGCACAAAGCACCAAAGGAGGCTCTGGGCTTGAAGGTCTGGACATTAGGAAACATCTTTTCACAGCAAGAGTGGTCAGACCCTGGAACAGGCTGCCCAGGGAGGTGGTGGAGTCACCATCCCTGGGTGTGTTGAAGGGTGGTTTGGATGTGGTGTTGGTGGAGATGGTTTAGGGGAGAACTTGGTAGAGTAGAGATGATGGTTGGACTCAGTGATCCCAAGGGGCTTTTCCAACCTGAATGGTTCTATGATTCCATGAAGCCTCTCAGGGCAGAAAGCCCCCCATGCCCTCCTTTCTGAGCAAGGAATGAAAACACAGAGAAGAGGGAAGACAGAAGAGTGTCCTTTGCCTGCAGATAAAGTGCAAACCCACACCTGGACAGATCAAGCTGGGCTCCCATGGATGACACAGATCTGCAAGACATTAACCTGGGGTGAACAAAACAGGAGACACTCTTCCCCAGCTGCTGGCAACTGGCACCAGCAGCTGTAGAAGACATTGAGAAGAGCAGACCTCCTGCACAGGAGGCTTTGACTTCTGAAGCTGACCAGGAGCTCATGGACAATTGAAATGATCTAAGATATGCTCCAAATCAGTTTTGCTGCACAGGCAGGACCCCAATGGGAGTTCACCTATAACTCTACTTAGTTTCTTCTGCAGGTGCCAGCCTGACCCTGAAAGGAGAAAGAGAAGAGACACAGAAAGAAGAAAGGAGGGAGAAAACACCTCTCACAGAAAAGATCACTAACTTTGGCTCTGCAGGGTGTTTGTTCCCCTCTTCTCATCCAGGAATGACTCAGTGATCATTTTACCTACACTTCCTGGGAGGAGCTTTTTCATTCCCCCTTGATATTCTGCTTCATGATGGAAACAACCTGAGCCTTTTGAAAGGCTTCAGCAAAGTCAAGCCTCCACCACAACCAACATTACCAGACTGGGGGTTTCTGCACCCCAGAATACTAGTACTGCTAGCAAGGGAATGCTACAGGCTGATACTAGTTAAAACCATCCCAGTTTTATTATTTTTTACTAGTTTCACTTTTTCCCCCCCTTGTCTCCACAGGTTTTACTACTCTGTTGTGAGAATTTAAAATATGATCTGAGCAAAACCAGGGATGCCAGTCAAGTATAAACACAAAGAAGATATTTTGCTGATTGATTCCTCTTGACATTCCACTCAGACATTCAGCTCAAGGAAGCATGAAGATGAATATGGTGGCAAGATCTGTAACAATCAGATCCAGCATCTAGAGTGAGACTGAAGAACTTCAGGGGTGGAGTTTGCAGATCTATTGCCTCACTATTTCAGACACAGATTTCAGATCAGAATCCTTCATTTCAGTAACAGAAAGCCAGGAATTTTGTGCCATAGTTTAGTTAAATTAAGTCATTTAATTGTGGCCTTGGTTTAATTACTTGACCATCTTTGATGCTGGAAGAGCTCTCTCCTTGAATCTTAGTTTGAAAGAAACTCCTTCAGAAAAACAACTTGTTTCTATAAAACTAGGAATTAATAAATCCACTTCTCTGTATGCAGCAATTCTAACATGTCCTTAAAAAGATCAGAACAGCTTTAATTTCCCCCTTCTCTCCCCAGCAGGAAGTACAAGACAAACACATGGCTCAAGGGGGGGGATGAATGAGATTATTGTAATGAAATAATAAACATCCACTTCAGGTTTATCATCATCCTTTGGTCTCTAAGTTAAAATCTAGAGATGTCTTTTCTTTACCTCGCTCATTAACCATTGTTTCTGTTTGAGTCCAATATCTAAATGCTGTGTTTCATCCAAAATTTCATCCAGGGTTAATGCATGAGTGTCTCCACGCTGGTGCCTGGTCTGGAAAAGCAAACAGGATCTATTAGAGTTCTGGACTTATTTTCTTCACCCACTCAATGATCAGCAAGTAATTAAAATGATCAGCAAGTCACTAAAATGATCAACAAGTCACGAAAATAATCAGCAAGTCACTAAAATGATCAACAAGTCACTAAAAAGATCAGCAAGTCACTAAAATGATCAGCAAGTAACTAAAATAATCAGCAAGTAACTAAACCACACTTTTGCAAAACCAAGACAGACACTTTCACACAGCACATTGAGTTCCAAGGTGGGGTTTTTTCAGAGTAGGAGGGGGAAAAAAAATGGGTATCAGCTGAAACTGATGACAAAGTCATCTGTCCAGCACCAAATTTCACATTGTTTTGAAGAAATAGCTCATCAATCCTAAAAGCTGGCAGCATCTTGCAATTCCTGTTTCTACTGCAAATAAAAAAACCCAACATTCTGCTGGTTGTAAAGTGACCTGGACTAATTAGTGGAACTAATGGAACAATATGCTGAGCATTTCCTGGCAGCACTTTGAATGTAACAAACAGCTTCTTGAAATTCTCAGTCTTGCAGGAAGAATAAAAAAATATCATCATTTGACATCAAAATACAGTACCTTCATATAATTCACTATTTTAGCAAGGACTCCAAATTTGTAGCCAGAGCCTCCTGAAAGGGCTTTCAAGTTAAATGATCCATTGCTGTGATCTACAAAAGGAAAAAACAAACAAGGAAATGATGCTTTCAACAAGCCCCTGCTGGCTCTGCACTCCTGCTCTTCCTCACTCTGCTTCCCCAGGATTTCAGAACCACACAGAATCACAAAATCCCAGGGGTTGGAAGGGACCTGGGAAGCTCCCCCAGCCCAACCCCCCTGCCAGAGCAGGGGCACCCAGAGCACATCACACAGGAACGTGGCCAGGGGGGTTGGAATGTCTCCAGAAAAGGAGACTCCACAGCCTCTCTGGGCAGCCTGCCCCATTGACTACAACTCCCTGACTTCTTCCTTTCAACCAGTTCTTGATCCACCTCACTACCTGATCACCAAGCCCATACTTGATCAGCTTATCTACAAGGATGGTGTGGGAGACAGTGGCTTTTGGTTGTGGTTTGTGGCTATTTCTGTTGAATGCACAGTCCTATCAAATTAATTAAACAATCATTAACAACCTTACAAGAGTTTTGGAAGCAAGCTTGACACAGGAACAAACCTCACCATATGTGAAGACAGAACAAGACTCAACAACTGAGGAGATGCTGAATTGTTGTCCCAGTGCAACACACCCCAACCTGTACTGAGGTGACATCGTACCAGGAGATAAGACAGCACAACGATGAAATGAACACAGAAGAACCTGTGCAACTCCAGCTGCAGAACATTTTATTCTGGTTACTAAATTAAGATGGGAAAAGGGATAAAAATAAATGCTTGAAAACACAGCCTCTTGGGACTTCCCCCCACGGAGTGCCCTTTTATCATGAACAATTTATGTCTCCGCAGGGCATTTTAAAAAGATACAATTCCATGTGCAAGGACAGGTTTGAAGTAACCAGTCTGAACTCAGAGTTAACAAATAGTTAAGATGACTAGTCTGTTGAATCGAGGAGATGATCTCCTTTAACCTGCCTGCCTGCCTACTGCAGTTCAGGACAAATCAATCTAACCCATCTGCAGATCCCAACCCTTCAAAGGTCACGGTTTGCCCACCTGCTTTCCAGCACAGAGCAGAGTCATTCTCACCCAGCCAACTCAGCAGGCACCAAAATGAGAACAGGAAGGGCTCTGCTTCTTACTGGGAACAGGAAGAATCCAGCTTCTGCATGATTCCCTCTCTGGGGTTGGATGCAAATGAGCAGAGGAAGCTGTCAGCAGCAGCTCTGGCCAATGGCAGGGAAGCTCCATCCGAGCTGTGCCACAGGCTGCACCAGAAAAAACAGGGACCAGACCAGATCTGCAGCATCCCTGCAGCCCAGAGGTAGGTGTGCATCATTTCATAACGTTTCTCTTGTTTACTGGAAGAAAAGATGCCTGTAACCTACAAGCTGCTTAGAATCAGGCTGGTTTTTCTCTAGGTTTAGGGGTGGGGGGGGGATTTTCCTGCGCTGAAGGTGGAGGAGCTTGTCTTGCACCATCTGTGCACTCCTGGGAAACTGATGCCCACTCCATCTTACAGAACAGCTAATCCCCCCGAGCCCAAGATTCAGGGAACAAAATGGATTTGGTGCTTGCAGGGAGGCAGGCTGCTCCCTGCAGCCTCAGCTTCCTCCTCAGCCATTCCCCAGGGTTTTCTAGAAATGACAGGGAAAGGCTTTTCCCTCAAACAAAGGCAGCTAAACCTGCAGTGGAGGAAATACAATTAAGCTGCCTACAAGAGATCAGTGCTCAGGGATAGGCAAGAAACCTCTTCTAGGGTTTTGGTACATTAGACCAGGAGGAAAATCCCCATTGCATGTGGTTAACCCTGCAGATGGTGGAGCAGCCACCGACACAACCCAGCCAGCTTAGAATCCATCTGATATTTGTAATTGTTCTTACTCCAAGATGTTTATTCAGTGCTTTCTTAAACAGGACTTCCCTAAGTATTGCATTGAGATGATTTTTTTGCCAGTCATTTCCCTCTATTCCCTGCACATGATTTCAAGCAAAGCTGCTCTCCTCTGCAGTGCCTAAAGAGGATGATACATTTAAATTAAAGCCTAATACAGATATTCCAGAAGCCAACTCATTAAATATTTAAGTTGGATACATACAATAGCTGAACTGCATGCCAAGCAGTCTGGCTTACAACCCAAACTCAAAATGTGCCCTTACAAAAAACCAGTCCAGCTGCATGAAACCAGACCATTTGTGACAGCTTTCCAAGAGGCTAAATAACCTAATTAGGGCTCATTCTGAGCACTCAGCAGCAGCTCTCTCAGCCTTATATTTTAATAACTGCAGCAAGGAGCAGCTGATGTTGATCTGCCCTGATGGTGGGGTGGGAAGGGGCTGGTTGCTGCACTGTGCTGCCTGGGGAGCTGTGCCCACCACTCTCCTCCTCTCCCAGGAACAAAGCTGCCCCTTCAAGAAGGGAGCTGTGCCAGAAAAGGGTCCTGGCTATAGAACCTGAACATGCCCAGTCTCCCCAGAGACCCCAGGGCTTCATCATTTTTAGCAATAACCAAAATACTAAACTTCCCAGCAGAGGAAACAGTTTATTTTTTTGTGCTTACAGCAAACTTCTCTGTAACAGAGGGCAACAAAATCCTCAGTCTTGGAAATCCCTTGAAAAACCTCAGAATGAAACTCCTTTCTCTCCTGAGGATACTCTCTTGCCATTTAAAATACACATTTAAATCCTGCTTGTTTTAATTAACCCTCAAAGGGGACTCTACAGGCTTTTATTCAGCCCCCTCCCCCTAGAATTTAGGAGGAAGGAAGGAAGGAAGGAAGGAAGGGAGGGAGGGAGGGAGGGAGGGAGGGTTTCATGAGTCCTACCCATTTCAGTCATACTTTGTGTATCTAATTACAATTCTGTCTATTCAGTCAGAGATTTAACAGAAACAGAAGTTACTGTAACTGCTCCAGTAAATGTCTGTGACAAACACTAATGCCAGGGATCTGCCCAACAACAAACCTGTTCTGTTTCAATTTCAATCCAGAAGGATAAAGCCCAAAATGTAGGTGATTTCAGCAATAAAAATAAGACCTGAAGAGCAAGCAGGTTTGGCTGCATCATCCTGGATCTCACAATATCCTTGCTTTTAATCACGAGACAAAAAATAATGACAGGTGCTTGGACTCCTTGAAGGAATCTTTTTGGTGGGCCCCATCCCACTTGGCCTCTGGCACAGGATGTAGTTCTCACTGCCTAAAAGGGGTTGGTTGCAGAATGATTCCTGAGACAGACGAGGTTCATCGAAGCATTTCCTGAGGGCAGAGTTTAATCAAGAGAACATCAGCCTTACCCCTTCCTCCTGCAGTTCTGATCACTGAGTGAAATTCACCCACACATGGGCAGCCAGGAGCCTTTTGTGATGAACACAGCTGGCTTTTCTTTTTTTTTATTTTGGTTTTCTCATCATCACCATATTTAACCTAAAAACTCCTTGCTTTTTCCTCAAGGGGACAGGGAGATCTGACCCCTTCTCCTTCTCCCACACCTGGTTTTCAATTGCCTGAAAGATTCCAAGGGTATTTCACAGCCTCCTGCAGTGCTCTCTGACAGGTAACCAGAGCTTACAGTGGCTCCTTGGACATTTTTTTTATTACATTAGACAAGACACCAGAAGTACCAAAAGTTCCCTCTGTTTTGGGAGGCAAAAGGCAGGGAAAGAAGGAAACCAGGGGGGAAAACCAGATTGGTAAATGTAAAGGCACTACTGCCAAACACCTCAACTGCCTATTCCTGATGCTCAAATAAACTCAGAGACAGACAAAACCACTTCTTTTGTTCCAGACACACCTCAGAAATGACAAGAGGCAACTCCTACTTCCACACTTTTGAGCAACAGCCCCTCCAAAACAACAGCACTTCTTCTCAACAGCAACACCAAAGGCAGGCTCCCCAAAGCCAACTTCTTGTTTCATCTCCTCCCCCCAGCACCACCAAGCAGCCTTGTCTTCTGCTGGGTACAGACAGTGTTGGTCCAAGGATGAGATTCCTTTCCCAGCAGTTAAGCAGAGAATGCAATTGAAAAAATAAGAAATGAGAACTCCTCAGAAAGGGTTGGGTTTTCCTCATTATCTATTCTAAGGAGTTTGAAGGAACCAGGATTGTTGGTTTGTACTAGATATTGTATTATGGTTCTACTGAACTTTTCACAGAATCACAGGAGTTTGGAAGGGGTCTCTGAAGATCATCATGTCCAAGCCCCCTGCTGCAGCAGGAACACCCAGGGCAGGTCACACAGGAACGTGTCCAGGTGGGTCTGGAAAGTCTCCAGAGAAGGAGACTCCACCACCTCTCTGGGCAGCCTGGCCCAGGGCTCTGTCACCCTCACAGCAAACAAGTTTCTCCTCCTGTTGAGGTGGAACTTCCTGTGTTGTCACTTGGGGCCATTTCCCCTCGTCCTGTCACAGGCACCACTGAACAGACACTGGCCCATTCCTGACACCCACCCTGCAGATACTGACAGACATTCACCAGGTCCCCTCTCAGTCTTCTCTTCTCCAGACTAAACAGCCCCAGGTCTCTCAGCCTTTCTCCATATGACAAGTGTTCCAGTCCCTTCATCATCCCTGTAGCCTCTGTTGGACTCTCTTCAGCATCTCCCTGTCCCTCTGGAACTGGGGAGCCCAGAACTGGGCACAGCACTGCAGATGTGGTCTCACCAGGGCAGAGCAGAGGGGGAGGAGAATCTCCCTTGCCCTGCTGGCCATTCACTTTAGTTCAGTTCACTTCCATTCTTTGAAAAACATCCTCCAAAACAGTGACAAGACACACACTTTTGTAAAGACTGATTTCTCTCTTTCTCCCAAATAGGAGAAAATAAAACCCAAACAAAACACCAAGCAAACCAACTCCTGTGACACTAACATGTCATAAGCTTCTCTCACCACTCAGGTATGGAGGGTTCTACCAAGATGTCTTGTTTTGCTGAGAGCACCAAAAGAACACCCAGGGCTTTCACAGCATTCAAGCACCAACCTCAAGACTGATGATGGGCAGGTCGTTGCAACCCCTGCACACCTTGAAAATTATCTTTGTAGCCTTTTTGTCTTGGCAAGTACTAGAAGTGGAGAAGGAAAGCTCTCTCATTCTGGAGTCACTTAGGTTACATGATGCTTGCATGGACCAGTCATCATCAAAATAAACTTCCCAGACAAATCACCGAGTTAAGACACTTGGAGATGGGTGGTTTTGAGATCAAACATGAGGATGTAACAATCCCTGTTTGGAGGAGGTGTGAGCACTTAGTCCCAGCTGAAGTTCTTTGGGACAAAAATCACAGCATGGTCTTGTTTAACAGAGTCCTCAAGAGTTTTGTTCTTCTGTTGCAGCCCCCAAATCGGTGACAGTGAGGACACTAAGACTACTCTTCCAGAATGGCAACCCCCAACACCACTCACTGGAATGAGACCACATCCATTTCCCACTACCTGGGCTTTCAAGTGCAAAAAATTTACCCTTTCCACGACACCTGGAACACTGCCTGCTTTATTATCCTCATCATATTCATCTTCACTGTTGTCTCCCTGGTGGTGCTGGCTTTCCTCTATGAACTCCTAGACTGTTGCTGCTGTGTGAAAAATAAAACCATGAAGGACTTGGAAAATGAACCCAACCCTGTCAGAGCAATGCTGAACAGCATCAGAAAGCATGGAACTGAGGTGGTGTAGGAAGGATGGAGCATCAGCACTTAGAAGAAGGTTTAACACCTTGAGAGAAGCCTCTTGTACCTTATGGTTGAGCAAGTCACGTGGTGTGGGGTCTTTTTTCTTTTTGGACTTAAATGTAACAGCAATTTTAGCTCTGGATGTGAACTTGAGTCATTGGGAAAGGCTTTCCAAGTGCTTAGCAGAAGGATGATGAGTTGCAAAGTTATGTGGGAAGAAAAGGTTGTTGTTTTTAAATGAGCTTTTGTTGCTTATGTTGAGTTACTAGCCTAGATCTTTGTCTGCTGGAACAAACCAGTGGTGCGTGACATGCATAAAACTGTGTTGCTTATAAACACTCTCCAAGATCTGATCACACAGCACAAGGACACAGCAGTGTCCTCCCACTGAGGTCAACCACACAGGGACAGGAAAGGTGTCCAAGGAGGGAGGAAAAAGATACAGGATAGAAGGGCTGAATGGCGAGAGACCCCGCGAGGCAGGAGAGGCTGGTGCCAGTTCTTGCCTTCAGCAGCTCTTCTTGTGATGATTTTCTTGCTCTTGGAAGAGAGGGTGGTGGGAGGGAATGCAAGTCAACATGAAATGGATCCCTAAACCAGTCTTTTCCAATCCCTTCTGGTACAATTTGATGCTTTCTTCCACTCCTTCTCCAGTTCCAGAGAACTGCTCTCCCCTAACGTTGTGTTCAACCTGTTTAACACCTTCTGGGTATCGAGACATGACTGGAAATGCTACCTGAAGAGCTCCTGATCCTTCCCCCAGGAGCCTTCTGTAGTGGTCCTGTGGGCTAGAAGAAACAGGAACATGTTCCTGCCTCAAGGCTGCTGCCACTACAGCAACCACAGCACTCCAGGGAATCAGACATGCTGGATGTATCACCCCAAGCTTGGCTTTTCAAAGCTGCAGGGGAAGTGCCCCAGCTCCAGGCAGGGACCAGAGCAGATGGGTGGCAGACCTGACACACAGAGGACAGTGACATGGCCCAGCCTGGAGGCAGCTCTCAGGTGGCAAGGTGCTAGAGCCTGACAGGATCCACTGCAAGGAGAGGAGCTCAGCTTGCTCCACCAGCCTGCCAGTGCACCCAGGGAGGTGACACTCACACCCCCCTCACTCCAACCTCCAGCTCACCAGGTTCTTTTTCTGCTGTAGCTGCATCAGGTCTCTAGTCCTCAAAACCATAAGAGTTCTGCAGTTCTCAGTGACAACTGTTGCTGTCAAGAATGCCTGGTGAGTCTTTCACACTCCTGAGCCCAAAGGAGGCCAGTGAGACCTGTCCCAGAGCCAAGCCTGGGTGGGACAAGATAGTTAACTATGTAAAACCCAAAGAAAGCTCCTGTCATTAGGGACACAAAGCCCACCTAGTGGCCAAGCACACAAGTAAACGACAACACTGATCTCTCAGTCTGTCTGTGTCTACCTTTGTGCTATGGCCAGTATCTATAGATTCACAGAATCAATCACAGAATCAATCAGAGAATCATCAAGGTTGGAAAAAACTTTGAAGACCAAGTCCAACCATCCACCAGACAACCCCTAACCACTAAACCATCTCCTGAAGCACCACATCCACCTGTTTGTTGACTCCCTCCCGGGATGGTGCCTCCACCACCTCCCTGGGCAGCCTGTTCCAAGGCCTCACCACTCTTTCTGTGATGAACTTTTTTCCTAATATCCAGCCTGAACCTCTGCTGGTGCAGCTTGACTCCATTTCCTCTGGTCCTATCACTGGTCACCAGGGAGAAGAGCCCAACACCCACCTCACCACAACCTCTTTCAGGCAGTTGCAGAGAGCAATGAGGTCTCCATTCAGCCCCCTCTTCTCCAGGCTGAACAGCCCCAGCTCCCTCAGCCTCTCCTCATAAGCCCTGTTCTCCAGACCTCTAACCAGCCTAGCTGCCCTTCTCTGCACCCTCTCCAGCACCTTCATGTCCTTACACTGCAGTGATCAGAACTTTATGCCCAAGCTCCAGAAGCTTTGGAACACACTGAAGGGCTTGCTAATTTGACCCTTCTTGGTTGGTGAGACAGAGTCAGAAGGTACCCAGGCCATTACTGACCAGCACAGCTCGGCCAGTAACTGGCTTGGAAGAGCAATCTCCTCCTACAATCCCAAGCTGCCCCAACTGCTGCTGCCACACTCCTCCCAGTGGAGTTTTTCCAGCCCCACGTGCAGGGAACATTTCTAGCTCAAAATCAAAGCACAATGAATGGAAGCTGAGATCCCAGGTCCAAGACAACTCAGGATTCAGGCCAAGACATCCAGCGAAGATGTCAGTGCTAGGAATGCCTTCTGCTGTCAGGGAAATGGGGTAGATCCCTCACTACCTGCTGCTGCATTTGGCAGCCCTGAGAGGCCTGTGTCCTGCTCAAGAGCAGCCATCAGGATGCACTGGATGGATTAACATGGCTCTGTCCTGCAAGCAGACACTCCAGACAGCAACAGGACTCCCAGACAGGAGGCAAGGTGCAGGAGGTGACACCTCTGCCCTCTTTTTCTGATGCCTTCCTGAGAAGCACACAGCAGGAAAAATCCTGGGACTCCCTCCAGCTACTTCTTTCATAGCTGTTTAAAGGGAGCTGGGTCTCTGCCCAAGGAGCAGAAGGCAATGATCTCCCTCCCCTTGCACAGCCCGAGAGCCTCAGGATGATTCCTTCCCATGTGAAGAGTAAGTGGTGAAACAGCTCCCAGAGACTTCAGCTCTTCATACTGGTGGCTGAGATCTCTAGGGGTCTTAAAATAAAAACTCAGACCTTGGCCACAACTTGCTGTTTGTCAATAAAAAGAAAGAAACAGATGCAATCTATGTCCTTTGTTTTCCAGTTGCTGCTCTGAACTGAGCACACAAGGCAGCTCTGAATTTTTTCAAGTAACTTGCCTGAATCAAATAACTAGAGTAATAATTATTCTTTCTGGGAAGCAAGTCTTCACACTGGGACCATTTTGAAGATCAGGGGGATCCCAATGTCTCTCCTCCCCAAAACAGTGACAAGGGCAGGTTCTCTGAGCCAGGGAGTCACAGAATGATGGGAGAACCTGCAGGCCCTACACACCCTGGGACTGCCAATGCTACCACGTCATCCCAGTGACATTATTCATCACCTTTGTGGTCACTAAGCTAGGACAACTCATCTTCATTTTGATTTCTTCAGGGTGATGGGACAGGGATTCTTCCAGCCCAGGTTCTTAGCCCAACTCCCCAGCACCCACCTGTGACAGACACACATCCTGACAGGCACCCAACAGTCTGCAGGTTTGGAGGCAAGAGGACTTGGACTCTGCAGCATCACAGGGCAACTCTTGTGGCTTGTGGCTGCTTAACCTGGTCACTCACTTGCCAACCTGAACACTTCTGAGCCAGTTCCCAAGAGCAAGGGGGAGAAGGTGGATCTGCTTGCTCTCCATTATTTTCCCTCCCTCCTTGCTGCTTCTGCAGTAGCTGGTAAATACTCTCCAGGGGAAAACAAAAGGAGGCTGAACTCATTCTGCATTAAAAATGGTAGAGGAATCCTGATGCCTTTCTGGCCTCATCAGGAATGCAGCAAAAAAGACAAAGCACATTTCCTCACAGCCCCACATTCCTG